CGACCAAAATTGTCTCCACAGAAATCAGAAGAAGAAAAGACACTTTAAATTCTTCTGATTTCTGTTTCGTGAATGATCAGTTAAACCTTAATGAACTATTCATTTAAAAAAACTAACATTAAGAATATGGTGTAAGCAGAGCTATAGGCCAACTAGGGGAGGGAAAACTTGTTAATTGATGAAGTACAACAGGACTGTTTCTGATCAGACTTCCTAACACTCTCGGTCCCATCTTGGTTCATAGCTGTGACTCGAGGTCAGCGCACGTCATTGCTTCGTTGATAACTGATTGGATTGTGCGTTAAAAGTTCAGCACTGGGCTGACTCTGTCTCTCCTGTCCCCAGAAAAGCCCTTACAAATGGAGTTGAGCTCCATGACGGAGCAGAAGCCCTCTGGCGCTGCTTTTCCCCGACCTCCTCTCCATCACCCACCCACCCACCAGTCCCCCTGGCCAGGGAAATCCACCAGACTCCAGCTCTTTCGACTGTCCTTGTGTCTTTTCGAAACTTGCTTCCAGCGCTTCAGGCTCGGTCATTAAGTCAGGAGCATTTAAATTTAATTTATACGGCTTATAATAATAATAATAATAATAATAATAATAATAATAATAATAATAATAATAATAATAATAATAATAATAATAAAGTTGCAGCAATTTACTTCCCATCTCTTCCCCACACAGGCCGCTGTCTTCTTCTCTGATCCCGGGTCTGTGCAGTGGGATCCCAGGCAAACCCCCGGGAGAGGCAGCGCTGTTTCCTCCTTCGCGTTAAGACACGTTCGCGGTTCAATTGAAAGGAATGGGGGAGATGTTAATGAAGGGGAATATCATGCAGAAGACACACACACACACACACACACACACACACACACACACACACACACACACACACACACACACACACACACACACACACACACACACACACACAGTTCAGCTGTCTGAACGCCGAGAAAAGCTGATGAAGTGTTTTTTTGTTTTTTAAACTTATTTTTTTAGTATTAATAATGTAAGAACTTCTGACCTTTGTACTAATTGATTTTAGTTTGTGGGAGTTTTAATTTCTAGCCATACTAATAATTAAGCTGTCGCTAAAAAAGGGAGGGGGATTACCAAGAGTGGTAAACAGAAAGATTGTGGGAGTTGTGCTGAGGTGATACAGTTGTATATAGTTATATATCTAAATAGGAATATCTAAGCATATATGCAAGTAGGGATTTCAAGAAATCCTGGAACATAAGGCTTTCTTTGGTCATCATCCTATTTCAAGTTGCTACAGATACAAGCAGTTGCTTGTATCTGACTTTTACAAATCAAAAGAAAAAAGCTGTGGTGGTCATGGGAAGCCATCTCAAACCACGACTTTTTAGACGGAGAAACTTGGTTTTTACCCATAAAGTAGAAACTTACGCGGGGAGTCCGTGGTAGTAACACGTGGTGCTTCACAACAGTTAACAAATGAAGCATTTATTGTGATATCACAGACCTGAATATTAATAAGAATAATCATTTCTTCCTATTGGCTCTGATTATTGCATTCACTCCCTCTATACTGCGTAACAGTGTGGTTTAAGAGAATACACACACACACACACACACACACACACACACACACACACACACACACACACACACACACACACACACACACACACACACACACACACACAGAGAGAGAGAGAGAGAGAGAGAGACTGTAAAGCCTTCAGTGTTATCAGAAGCCCAAAGCATAGCGCAGACTGTACTGCTATGATAATCTAAACGATGACGCTGTTCAGTGTCTTGCAGCGTGTGTTTAGACTCCGTGTGATATACGGATCTACTGCATCACTGAGCATCAAATGAAAAGTGTTTATCATCCATTTCCTTCCCCCCCCCCCCCCCCCCCCCCCCAAAAAAAAGAAGCACAACTTTTGTCATTTTATTAAAAGTTTTTTTGTTATTGTTTAATCTTCAGGTTTTTCCACTGCTGGAGTTAACAGTGTTTACTTTTTTGCATTAACCGTTTCACCGTTATCCGTGGCAGCAGGTCATCGCCGTGCGCGTGCACCGGCAGCACCAGCAGTTCTCCGGTGCATGGTGCATTTCCAGAAGAGCAAAGAATGCGCTTGCAGTCTCTTGCTTTCACCGAAGTTTGAAGCGGTTCTATCCTGCAGAGCCTTTTCCGAGGGCTCCTTTGCTCCCTGAGACTCTCCCGCTTTCACACAAAACACATGTCACAGATTCATTCACTCACAGAGAGCGAGAAAGGGTGAGAGAGAGAAACTGAGAGAGAGAGAGAGAGAGAGAGAGAGCTGCTCACAAATCATCTGTGAACTGCAATCCTACAACAAACACTTATTTTCACATTTTCTCCAAGTTTCCACCAAACTTCTAAACTTCAAATCGACTGTTTGTCCTTATTAATATTTCACATCTACACATTTTGCCATTCTTGAGCGACCTTGAACGAGAGGAGTGGCAGGCAAATGTTTTACAGTTGAGAGATTCCACATAAAAACCTCCTGACAGCTTTTAATGTATTTAATTGTCTCAAAGATCAATGCAAAGTGCTGACCCTACAACGCGCCATGTTTCTTTCAACACTACCCATAACTTCGTTTCCCGAACAAGCAGCCAAAGACAAATATAATTTGGAGTGTATTAGTCAAGCTTTGGGGAAACAATTGTTTTCTTTTCCTTCTTCCTTTTTTTTCCCTCTAAAGGAAACACTTATTGTATTGAGGCTGGTTTTGTTCTTTTCATGTATGGTTTCTATTGTTATTCTATAGAAGTTACAGTCTAGTGATTCCCAATCCGCGCAGGAATTTAACCCTGAAATGCCAGCAGCAGCAACAGCATAATGGCCTGTCTCTACTCCCAGTATCGCCCCTCCGGGCTTTGGCGGCAGAAGCCCAACTGGCCGGGCCAGAAAGCCTGCTAGCCCCGGTTCCCCCTAACTTCCTTGCGACTTTGGCCTGGACATTATATCGCAGAGTGCCATTACTCAGGGAAACATCGCGTCAAATACGTCACACTGCACTTAAAAGTTGGAGACTCGGAGTTTTAGCAGGATTTCTATTTTCATTCCCTTTGGTAACAGCATGGTGTTAAATTGTTAGTTGTTTTATTGGTTTTTCCCCCAGTTATTCTATCACACCCAGGACTCACGAATGTTGTAAGAAATGCAGACTGTCTGCGCTCACAGGAAATTCATGCTACTGCAAACTACTGATGCATATAAACTACAGCAACTACACACACACACACACACACACACACACACACACACACACACACACACACACACATATATATATATATATATATATATATATATATATATATATATATATATATATATATATATATATATATATTGAACCATCTCACGCGCAGCGGTTGGAAATGCTGCATGCGTAAATGTCTGCGGTTTGCCTCTTGTTGTTATTGCAGACACCGGAGGCCTACCACTTCTCCCGTCCCACATCCCTCTAAAATCCACCGGAGAGGGAATCCCTTACTACTACTGTAAGAGCTTAACCAAACTAAAGGCACAACATGTGGCCTTCTTTGAAGGAAATTTGCCCTTAGCCATCGCCAGTACTATTACGATGCCCACATTATGGAGATAACGACACTGTAGATCTATTTGGGGTCAATTCCCTTCTAACCTTAAAGTCTTGCCCAAGGAATACCCACCTATCTGTCTTTTTTATCTATTTATTTATTGATTTTTAACTAATGGGAGACTTGGATGAGCAATTTAGAATACACTAAGAGGCTGTGGATATTTTATAACAAGGTCACGTAAAGAAATATTAAAGGTGAAACGGAGCTGCTTTCCATATATAAAATAAGTGGCAATCTTTATGTATTTTAAATACCATTCTTTAATGGCATTTAGAACTCTCTCATCACACACACACACACACACACACACACACACACACACACACACACACACACACACACACACACACACACACACACACACACACACACACACACACCAAAACAAAAAACGATTACCCATCTCAAAAGAAGGAGAAGGAGTCCGACAATTACACTCAGTCCCGTTTAATGAATGCTTTATCATTTAAAAAAGAAGAAAGGGAAAGTGCTTCAGAAATCCACCGTTCAAGTTTCTATTTCGAGTGCAGTTTTCTCATGTATATTCACAAGAAGAATGAAAAAAATCAATCAATATACAGGAAACCCCATAAAATTCACAAAAATAAATATTCAGTTTCATATAAACAACCAGTGACTTCAAATTCCGTGTCAAAAAACCTGACCTCAAGTATTGTATCCAAAGAAAAAAGATTTAAAAGTAAAAATCAAAAAGTAAATGAATGGAGGGCAGTGAAGTGGGTAACAGGAGGAGTATGGAGGGAGAGAGCATGAAGCTTGTAGTTGCTGTGCGATGCAATTGTTTACATTGATAGCGTCACTGTCAGAGAGCTGTTTGTCTTAACGGTGGAAAGGCCCTCCCAACAGGCCATTCTAACCACCTCCGCCCCCCCTCAGCCGTGCACTGTGAGAATAGGCTGGTGCGTCAGGAGAGGGGGGCCTTAAGCCAGCGCAACTCCACGGCGCAGGCGATTCCTCTTCCTCCTATGCCGTGCAACCTATGCTTTTGACATGCGGATTAAAGGTTGAAAGCTTCACTCTTGCAACACAGCTACACCACCCCCCCTCCTCCACCATCGACACCAACATCACCACTACACTCCAAACCCATCGCACCCCCCCCCTTTTACTGCTAGCTTGCACAAACACGAGCTCGTGTTGTGTAGCTTCTAAACTAGCCATTTTTTCTTTTCAGTTTTTTACAAGCTTGTAGGGGATATGAGTTCAGGTCCGAATTGTCTCTCCCAGCCTCAGACATAAGGCTCACGGTGAGTTCAGTCAGAGTGGCGCTTTAATCACATGGCTAAACATCTACCACATGTATCCACAATGGTGCAGGCAGAGTGAAACGCACTTTTTGTACATTTTTTCTTCTCTCTCTCCTCCCCCCCCCCCCCCCCACTCTCTCTCTCTCTCTCTCTATACAATCACGTATTACATAGTTTCTTCAATCCTCTGAATGAATGCGCCCTTTGCTGTGCTTGTGGAGGAGGCTGACATCATTCACGGGGCTTTGGGTTTGTTGTGATCTGGCTCACCCTATAAGCTGGGGCCTCTCTTTGTCGTGGACAGAAAAGCACACCAATTAGCAGAGCGCGTCCTGCAACTGCCATTAAAAACATCCACACATTCACTTAAAATGCCTATACGTGTAGGTGCTTCTCGACCACTTGATTTAAAGGCGTGTAGGCTTGAGTCTGAGTTGGTACTGCTATGGGTGGGGGCTACATTAAACAGGTCTGGGATAGCCTGCTACTACGCCGAGAGCGGCCATATTAAAAAAAAGAGGCTACATTCAGAACGGTGAGATGATGATGATGATGATGATGCGTTTAGGAAATAAAAAGGAAGCGAGATTTCAGAGAACCTGATTGCATTTCTGCCTTCCCTATAAGGAAGGCAGCCAATGATAGTAAAGAACTGTGTTTTTCTTTCATCTTTAAGAACAACGAGACTGAGAATGAGGGATGAGAAAATCAGCATTTGGATGGTTCGGCCGCACATGGCTGAATTGTAAATAATAAAATATTTAACCTCAAATCAAACAGTCAATCTTCCGGCAGTGGGGGCTTTCCCTTTTTGCATCAACAGCTCTCGCGCGTAATTTCACGTTTGTTAGAAATCCCTAAAGCTGAAAAACAACCTAAACACATTCAAAATGCAATGCATTTAAGCCCCTCTCATGTGCTTGGTCGCATTGTTTCTTATTAGTGGCTAGAAGGTGTTTTCACGCAGATTTTTTTTTTCGTTTTTCTTTTCTTTCTTGGTGCCTCCCCCTACACTCCCCCTCCCTCCCGTTATCACTAAATCACATCCCATTTTGTCTGCATTTTATATTTTCTTGAATTATTTACATGTTCACCACGCGCACACTCTCCCCGGCACAACTTCTTATTGCGTCCAGAGGAAGCCGAGGCCACATGGACCTAGAGGGACACAAATCTGTCGAGTCTGTCGTGAGACCTCATAAAGGAGGCTTATTCATTCAAAAAAAATTCTTTCTGTTTTTTTTTTTTTTTTTTTGATTGTCTGTATACAAGGCCCGCGTTGTGTTTGGGCCTGCGTATGTGCAGTCACACGCTTGCAAACCAGGAAATAGTCCGCAGAAATAAAAACATGACTGAAAACCAGAATACAACCACCCTTAGAAAAATAATCATTTTAAATAATAACACCAACAACAATAATAATAAAAGAAATCCCACAACCACCGAGAATAAATTTATGTCAAATCTAATAAAGGCTTAACCGTGAGCATATGACCAGACATTAACTGAGCTTTTCTTGTATACATGTCTGAAACTGAATATTTGGGCACATGGATGTTTGTGGCCAAGCTGGTTAGCACGCCAGAGGAAAGACAGCGCTGATATATATAAAATATGCCAAGTGGCACAGAATGGGAAACCCTGATTTTTATATTATTATAATTATTATTATTTTATGATTTGCTCAGTCAAGTTTACTCCTCAATCCTAGCAAGTTTTTTTTTCTTTTTTAAAGTAGCCTCGTCCCAAGGAATGCTGTGATTTTTTTTACCCCCCCTTCCTTCTTTCAGACAAAGCACAAACCACTGAAACCCGGCACTATACAATCCAACAGGTCGAGCAAATTAGAAAAGCGAACAAGAAACATTCGAGTTCACACACACACACACACACACACACACACACACACACACACACACACACACACACACACACACACACACACACAGAGTCGCGTGAACACACCATTGAGAATAGATATTGCTTAGGATAGCTTATTTTAACACAAGTTTTTTTTTAAATCTTATATCCACGAGCGGTGTCTCACAGTCCTGTGGGCGTTTTCAGCGGCTCCGAAAAGGGGGGAATCTTGTGGGTTTTCCTCGATCGAGCTTGAAAACAAAGCGGAATGTAAATCCATTCTCAGGAGAGAAAAGGGGGGACAGAAAAGAAACAACACCGATAAAGTTGCGAGCATTTCGGTGCGCACAGGTTAAGACTCGGGCTACGTTTGGGTTGGAAATGGTGAGGGCTTTTTCAGGGCTTTTTTTTTTGCTTTAAAAAACAGCTCCGCCGTCTATTTCCTAGTTCTGTGAACGTGTGGGGGAGGGAGAATCTGGCCGCCTGGCTGCCACCTCCACACGGGGTGGGACGGAGGGGGAGGCCCGGGGCCCCTCAGCGAGTTCAGGGAGTAAGCGGGGCACAAATCCCCGTCGCTGCCAACAATCAGCGACGGCGGGGATGGGAAATTTGCCATTAGGCTGAAAGGCATTTTTGCCGGCGATGCTACAGTGTTCACGTTGCTGCGTTTGCGTCTGCTCGGTAAATCCTCCGTGGATGCCTCCTCGCGCCCCACGGGACGAGAACAAGAAGAATAAGAAGAAGAGGAGGAGGACGACGACGAAGAAGAAGAGGCAGCCTTGTGGACCCTGGATAGGTTTGGTTTTGTTTGCGTCCTGGAAACTCTGGGTTTCTTACTCCCCTGCACCGGAGCCCTGCAGTTTTTGTGCCTGTGCTCCCCCTCCTCGATACACGGGGCGTCTTGACTACTTCTGCATTCCTGAGGACCACAGGGGGACCTGAGGGCCACATCGGGGCTCTTCTCTGTGGCTTTAATCCCACTGTTGGAAAAATCTCCTTGTTTTATGGCTCCGCTGGGATAGTGGCCATTGTTGCTCTCTGTTTTATCTCCTTTGCATTTAGCTACAGTGGCCTGGCTCTGGTATTCATACTCATCACAGCTATCCTCCACTTTAACTTTCACATTGTGGAGACTGAACGGCGGCGTCCTGGCTGTCCTGTCCGAAGAGGAGGTGGCGGTCACAGAGGGCTCCTCTGACTCGGTCTTTATTTTTTTCAGTGCAGTGGGCAGACTTGGGCTGGCGATCGCTTTCGCATCCCTCCTGTCCACAAATTTCTGGGTCTGCTTGGCCTCTTTACTGTGGTCATACTGAGCCCTCAGTCCCGGGGGGCATTTGATGGGATGCCCCTGTGTCCTGCGTGAAGGGTGAGAGGCCTTATTCCGATTGGGTCCCAGTGAATATGTGATGAGCTCATCCACAGTGTCGGCCTGGTTCAGATTTTCCCTTTTAGACTCGCTGAAAAAGCTCTCCCCCACAGAAGCTGAGTTAAAGTTTTGGGGCTGCGAGGGTCCCGAGTCCTGCTCTGTCTCTCTGCATGTGAATTCACATTTCTGAAGTTTGTCCTGTCTCCTGTCCCGTGATTGCGAAGCAGCAACATGTCCGAGGGTCTTGTGCTCTTTTTCGTGCTGCACTGGGTTGTTGTAGTGAAACGTAGGCTGCAGGACCAAAGGTGCTTTGCTGGTGTTGAGACTTTTGGCAAGCGATCCGACCCGCGCCCGTCTGAATCGGATGCTCTGAACCGAAACACGGCTCGAAACTGAGCTGGAGTCGGACTGAGAGGAGCTCTCTTCCTCCTCCTCCTCCTCTGAGCTGACCTCTGAACTCTCCGACTGAGTGTCATCTTCTTCCTCGCCGTCCTCTTCTTCTTCCGAACTGGCGGAGTTGCTGCTGGTGGAAAAGCCAGAGCCGAGGTCCCAGTCGGGGTAAGCCCGTTCCGAGTAGGTGCTGGACTCGGTGTCGCTGCTGTAACTCTCCGGGAAAGTTGGCTCGTGGTGGTGGTGGTGGTGATGATGATGATGTTGGTGGTGGTGATGGTGGTGGGGTCGGGGGTCGAGATAAAAATCTGGACCGAGGTGAAAAGCACCGAAAGAAGTCCCGTGACTTCCAGACGATTTGGGTTGCACGAGCAGCACCGGCGGTGCGTGGTGGTGCGCGTGCCTGCTTCTGCTCCACGAGTGCCTCGCGCTGTCCCTCCCGCCGCCCCCCTCGCGCCTCCTCTTCCTTTTGTGAAGTAGGTCGCCGGCTGAGCGAGAGAGCCTGGACTGAGCAGCTATGGCGGACTGAAGCACCACCGGCTGCCGGCTCACCGCGCTCCGGAAAAACGAGTGCCTTTGGCTCAAAGTGACGCGGTTCCCTGTTATTTTCGCTGTTTCATAGTTTTTAAAGTGTTTGTAACTGGACTTGGTCGCCGAACGGCAATCCCGCCCGTGCGTTTTGTGATAAAACTGAGGTAGTTTGGAGTCGGTAAGGCAAGGAGTCAGCTCCTTCTTCCTGCCCACTTTGCCGTGGAGTGTGAGAGTCTCCGGGACGCCGTGCTGCAAACTAAACCAAACTTTTTCCCTCCACAGCTCGCCGTCAGCACGGAGGAACCCCGAGGACTCGTCCTCATCCCCGGGGGAGCACGCCGCTTTCGCTTTCCTTTTGTTGGACTTCAACACCCGCTCCGTCTTGCAGGAGAAATACAGAGCCTCCACGTCCTCCCGCGATATGAGAGTGCATTTGGCGGCGTGGAAAGCTATAGAGTTTATTGCTTTGAGCTTCCGTAGCTCTTCCAGGTCGCACTGGTGCTTCTTCACTTTCAGGTAGTCCATGCGCTTGTGCACCGTGGTCCGAGGGATGTTCTTCAGCAGGTCGGTGAAGACCTGGGACAAAGCAAACATTTGCTTGCCTTGGATGAGCAGGTATCCCAGCCTCACTCCTTGCATTTCCTCAAAGCCACACTCCAGGTCTCCCATGATTTGTGTGTATCCACTAGAATCTATTACTCCATGTAGTCAGCCTCAATATACTGTGGATTCACCAGTGAGTGGCATAGGTTAGCGAGCTTAAGGCATCCTGCTCACACCTATAATCCAGCCACACTGCTGCGTAATGAAAATGCAAACTTTGACATGCGGAGTTAAATGGAGCTGCCCCTGTCTAATAGATTGAATGAGCCGACAGCATCCACTCCTTGCTTCTTGCCCCGGGTCCGGCATGGTGGTGGAGGAATGCGACGGATGCGTCCACCAAGCCGGGGCTGCTACCTGCCTCTGCCGACTCCACTCCCCTCTGGTCGGCAGCAGGACGAGGGGTAGGTGTACACCACTGCCTCAGCCAGAGGGATAAAATAGCTAGAAGAGAGAGAGAGGGAGGGAGAGCGACAGAAAGGGAGGGAGAGAGGGTGTTGTGAGGGTGGGGGAAAGCAGAATGAGAGAGAGAGAGAGAGAGAGAATCAGATCCAGAGAGAAACAGAAAGAGCTAAAATGCAGCTGCTATTCTGGATGCTGGGTGAGCCACAAATAAAATGACAGGGAGAGAGAGAGAGAGAGAGGGGGGGGGGGGGGGGCTGTCTGGAGACACCTTCATCAATTAATGCCCCTGGAGTCGACGCCCATTGGACGCCGCTGACAGGTGATGCAATAAAAATGGATATTCCATCCCCACCCACCCGCCCACCTACCCCTCCAGCACCCTGCTATTACAATAGTTTACAACTGTGCCCACAGTCTCCGCCGTCTGAGTAAATAATGCTGTTGTGACATTTTTTCCTCGATAGCTAAATAAAGAGCTGCAGAAAATCCAGCCCAGTGCAGAGTTTGTGTAGAGCCGGTGTAAGTAGTCCGAACCGGAAAATAGTCATGACAGGACGGGATGTGTCGTGCTAATTCCCCCCGCGGTCGTCATCAGAATGTATGTAACCGTAGCATGCAATCGATTGCATGTTGGTAAAAATGACTCCAGTCAGCACGTGCTATTTTAGTCGGGCTGATGTGCGTTACGGACGTGCTGCTTAAACAAAGAAATTTGCCTCTTTTTTCCCCCCTCACTGCTTTCCCCCCTGACCAGTAAACATCAAACTTAACTGCTTTAGCGTGCTCGAGCCTTTTCTCCTGATTTTTCTTCCCCAAGGTTGTAGGCCTTCTATAGACTGACCTACTTATCAGCTGAGACCACATAGGCTCGCGTCCATCCGCCTGGTGATACCGTAATAAACGAACCGGCGCTCCCAGCGTTTCAGAAGCCATTTAAACCGTCTAAGCTGCGTGTGTGTGAATTTTGCGGAGTCACGCAATTCCTGTGAAATTGTACCGTGTTTAAATGTGAACCGTGATTTTTGAGCGTGATCACAGTGCCAGGTCGGGGCTGCTTTTCCAACATGATTTTCTGCATAAATAAGAATCCTTGTAATATTAACACTGATAATAACTCTTCAAAAACCGGATCCATTTTAATTAGTTTTTCAACAAGGCACATAGAAGCACTTATTAAATATATCATTCTATAAATTGCATAAAATACGCAATAGGCTGTTGCGTCACGAATATGTGCTTTGGTTATGTTTCCATCAACAAGTAGCTTATCTGAGCGGGAGGGCGTGCACCCTGACTTTTGTGAGATTATTCATTAAAAAACGAACACCTTTTGTTTCAAGAGATTTCTTTGTATTTCTTGTAAAATGCACAGTATACACAGTTTGTCTTTACGCACGTCAAAAACGCAAATACGCGCACAAACTCGAACGTTAGAATTCATTAGAATGAACGCGCATGCACGCGCAGAACTACATAAAACACCGCGGATCTGAGAGCGGCACACCTTTTTTCCACGCACACGGCCACAGATATGGGACCCCCGCCCAAACACACACACACACACACACACACACACACACACACACACACACACACACACACACACACACACACACACACACACACACACACACACACACGCGGGTTTACCAAATAATGTGACCGTGTAGTACGGACTAATTGTTTGAAATAGCAACGGGCCACAGTTAGCCTGAATGGACTGACTATTATGTTCGCCCCTGAGCCATATTTTTTTCTCCAATAGTCCCCGGGTTATATTCCATCTTTGTGATCTATAAAACACGTGAGTCCCTTGTGACCAGTTCCTCCTGCTCCTGCTGCCGGTGCTGCAGCGCGGTGGGGTCAAACTCAGCACTGGGCATACTCGTTTCCATAAATATTAAGCCTATTTGCTTATTTGCTGGCTTGTCACTGCGCGCTGAATAGCATCGATGTTACCAGTGTGTTACATCAAACGGCGTGTCACATGTGTAGGCGTTGTTATTATAGATCTTTAAATATCCGAATGATTAAGAACATCATATCCACAATATCCCTGCAGGACCGGGACTGTGGTGCGTAACCACCAACGTAGTGCTGCTGGACTCAGGAACAAGATCGTGCGTGTTAAAAGATGTTTGCTCCTTTTTAATTTCATAGCTTGCATTACACCGACTGTGCGAAATACAGCCACGGAGATAATCAAAAATATAATACCCTCTGTGTGTGTGTGCGTGTGCGCGCACGCGGGGGGGGGGGGGGGTACATATAAAGTCGGCTATATTTTAGTTTAATAAGTCACAGAAGGCTGTCATTAAATGCACCAATTGCATGTGGATATTAGCTGGTGCGCTGATGAGCAACTCAACGCAACCGTCTTTGTGTGTATACCTTTGTGCAACTATAACTGAAAATGGGTCTTACTGGAAGCCCCCGCGATCTCTTTAGCTCCCTTAAGTCCAGCTCCACTGCACGGGGGTCATTTGACCTGCACCCTTGCGGTTGCTTTAGATGCAACATACGCACGTTGACGTGTTCTTACTTGCTGATTATCTATGACAGCATTAATACATGCAACATGAGGAGCTTCACGGATGTGAAGGGAGGGGTGGGGGTGGGTGGTAGGGGGATAGGAGAGGGCTCGCTGAAGTCCGGGTCCCCGGGGAATAGCTCACATCCCCGAGACACTGTGCACCGTGGCCGGCCTAGGGAGACGCAGGAAAGAATGGATAGTCGAGGCTTGATTCATCAGACATTCTGACATCTGCACGCCTTGTCCTTTGGACAACCCGGGTTTACTTTTATTTGGCACACTAGACCCTTGTTGTTATTTTTTCTACTTCCTCTAATCCCTTATAGCCAAAGGTTCTCACGTAAAACGCAAGCAATTCAAACTTGCGTAAGCTCCATAGCGATCCTCTTTGTTTTGTTGCTTTTCCCTGAATGTGACTGGTCTGCAGCGGAAATCCATCCTGCAGTTACGCACAGAGACTGGTGTGTTAGTTTTTGAGATAACAACCACGCGGATTTTACTCACTTTATTTGTAAAGAGTTGTGGTTTTGTCACAGGCACGTCATCTATGTAGTAATGTAAAAATGACACACACACACACACACACACACACACACACACACACACACACACACACACACACACACACACACACACACACACCTATATCGGTGTATTATTATTATAATTATATATTTTGTTATTATTTATTAAACTGCGAGTATTAAATATGATCAGAAATAATAATTTTTAAATAAATATATAAAAGCACTTTCACACCATCTGTAAAGCCTCGGGATAAATTTGCAGCACCTCTGTCGGTGGATTTTCATCTCCTCATGTCTTAACCGCCCCAAAGTGTCAGTTTGGAGACATCTAACAACAAGTCAACATTCAAATAATTAATGAAACAAATTTAAATGTATTACCGCGTGTGTATAGATCTGCCCCAATCTGAGTATTTCCAATTAAGAGCAGGGGCTCTTTTGTCATGCACAGATGCCACAGGGCACTTATTCCCCCCTCCACTGCGCCTGGATGTCGGCCGGGGACCAGCGGGAGGAAGCAAGACCGAGTGGCCTGGAGAGAGTTCTCAAGTACGGTGAAGGTTTCTATGCAGCAGCCCCTCTGTGTGCTGAGGAGGCGTGGGGAAATGATCGTGATTAAATCTCACAGTTAAGGCTCATGGTTAGCATTGCCATTGTAACTGAGCTGTATGTGGTGAGTTATAATAGGTCTGTAAACTGTAGGACATATTTAAGACATATTGGGAGTGAGCGACCTTGTGATCTAGATTCCAATGATGGCGTAGCTTTTATTTCTTTTCCAAAGTGAAATATAGATAATTTTTAAGACGACGTTTTAAACCTTTTCAGTTGTTAATACTAAATAAGCTTTAAGCAATAATATTTTGCATTTGTCACTTCATCGTGGACGTCCAAGGCTTAACGGGACCGATTATGGGTAAGGACTACTCACTTATCAGATATAATCAATAAACACATGTGATGACGTCTGCATCCCGGTGTTTTGCTCTACTTTTCACTGGTTTATTATTAATTGTGTGTGTGATTTCAATTCAACATATAATTAATGAAAATAAAAATTTACACTTTATGTAATCCGTTTTCTTTCTTCTTCTTCTGCTTTAAAAAAATAACACTCATCAAAGCAACCGCGCCGCCTCCTGCAGCTCCATCTCACTTTCTCTGCATTGAGTTTTACGGAGACATTTGGTCAAGGACGCTTAGGCACTTGTAAGCGCGTAGACCTTTTTTTTAATGACACAAACCCACTGCCCCATGCCAAAACAATGAATTCCTCTCCACCACCCCCAACACCACCACCACTACCACCACTGAGGGAGAATGTGATTTTACATGCAATCCGAGCCTGAAGTATGTGCGGACAGTGATGGGGGGAGGGTTCTCTTCACCTTTCACCCCGCCGTGTTGGAACTGTTTGTATTTTTTTCCTGGGCCCCTGTGCTACTCGCACAAGATAGAGGAGACCTGGGGTACACACCGATGGTTCTGAAAGCGTGCTGCATGTGTTCATGTCACTTTTGGTGTGTATTCACGCTTTTCTCCCCCCCAGTCGTGTATATTAACTTAGTAGCAGCCCCAATACCTAATGACTATTCACACAAACAGCCAGTTAGCCTCTGGAGTCCTCTGGAAAAAGATACAGATGGTACATGTGACAGCCCTGCCTTAACCCCACATGCACATTGTCATACACAATATCATTCCAAATATCTATAAAATTGCCATATAGCCCATAATTACTTCCTAAATGACTACGAGGCTCACTTAAATTTAATGATGCATTTATTAGGCCACTACGGGTGAATAACATTAACTAAAGCTCTTTGTAATGATAGTTTGACTGATAGCTGATTGCGCGCAATTTATGAATTCAAGGATGCTCGAATCCAGCGCACGTTTGAGGGGACAGAGAGCACGCGGCGCATGTGCAGCTAAGTCACCGCTTTGTCTTTAAAACAGTTGATACAGGTTAACTTGTCTTTAATATAAAAAATACATAAATAATGGGGCCAAACCTATATCTCCAATTTGACGTAAACACCGTTAGCGCTCGCAGTTAATTGACTCGAAAAAAGGCATCTGGCATGTTTGCGAACGCTATTGTTTCAAAATAAAAGTCCTATTGGTAGTCATTTGTTGAAGCTTATGAGCTCAGTCTGTGAAAACATTCCTGCCAGAGTGCTACACACACACACACACACACACACACACACACACACACACACACACACACACACACACACACACACACACACACACACACACACACTTCAATATTTAGGAACAAATTCAGAATTCATTTACATCGTAATGTTTCTTTGCTCATGGGTCTTTTTTCTTTTCTTTTTCTGATAATTAACTTTGGAGTTTGAAAAGATGGAGTTAGGCATGCAATCACCAGGACAACAGTAACTAATAACTGCCAGGCAAGCAGGGAAGTACATCTAACATTTGTGCAGCTATACAATGCATTTACACAAAGATATTGCAGACATGGCCGATAGGTCCCTGGGTGCACGTGTGTGCGTGTGTGGCGGGGGGTGCTTTTTTCCTATGCTTTTTTCGCCCGTGTTGTCATTCTTGCTCCCCGCATGTTTTACATGCTCCTCATTCTGAACAAAGAGACGCCAAAACATAACGCAGCCACCATACAAACATAACCAGAACTCAAACACGGAAGTCCTCTGACTTTTAAATCAGTGTCAGCTATCTCACAGTTAACAAGAACAGTGTAAGCGAGGACACCTCACAATCAAAGGACAAAGCAATTACACTATTTTCTACTTCTGTGCCTGGTTCTGTGTTTTATCTTGGCTTTAAATTTTGTTTAAAACTTTTGTTTATTTCAGCTCTCTTGCTCAAAACATTATGTGCTTCTGTAGCCTACATCATTTACTACATCAGTAACTGAATTAGGCCACCCAGCGTGCAGAATACACTAAATCAGTCAGGAGCCCATCACATAAACTTTGCAGCATGGGATACATTTGAACTGTGAAGAAAAACAAAACATGGATTTCTTCAGAGTGTCTCTGACAATACACAACTTTTATTGGTTGGCAAAAAGACGTTGGACCATTTTTTTAGTTTCTCAACATAAATCACCACATGAACTATAAAGCTTTCACATGTTGTTATTCTATAAGGCAGCTTGGTTATAATCACACAGTACTTTTAATTATATGTAATCTCTGAGGTCACCTGGGAGTAGACAGTGTCGCTTTAATTTTCTATCTCAGGGAGGGGTCTTCTCCTGCAACTTGAGGAACACTGGGCATAAATCGAGCTTTGATTTAATCAAATGCAAGTTGTGAAAAAAATAAATAATAATAATTTTCCATTTTCACTATTTCAGTAGCTATATGGGCCCCTCCACAACTGCTGCCCCCTCCTTCGCCTCCCTTTGTTCTCTCCAGCTCTAATAGGTTTTCCCCTGCCACACACAATTCACATTTTTTTTCCTCCTTTTCCCCAGCCCCTCACCCCCTTTCAGTGCATTGCCCAGTGTCGACTGGAGCATTTGAGCAATTTGAAATTAAAGCAAACAATGGGCAAGCACTCCCAGGGCCCTCTCGCTCACTATATTACACGGAGAACGCTCGTGTGCTCTTGCGCATTATTGGCAAGTCATTACGTTTCTCTGGAAACCGAGAGCGGGAGCTCGCTCAGAGGAATCGGTGATGCAAGCAGCAGCTGAGTGCTTGGAATAGCATGTGTGTTCTGGAGCATCCTTGGCAACAGCATGAGGAGCTGTCAAAACAAAACTGTATATTGACAAGGCGATATGTGCAGCTTGATATAGGCGTCCCAGAGCCCATATCCTTCCAAGGATAAAAATGTATTCCCGAAGGGAACCCTGATTCCTTCCTTTAGTTTATCCATTCTACAGTAAAAAAGCTACACATTTAGGGTCTTCTATGTGTAACTGTAGTCAAATGCAGGAGGTGTAGCATAATTCAGTTACTTGAAAACAGTTACAACCCAGAGTGACAATAGTGCAGGAGTGTGAGTATTCATATTATCCATTATTCAAAGCAAAGAGATAAATACAGGAAAAAGCAGTCCTTCGGTATTCATTTAAGTTGTAAAAAAAAAGTGAATAGGCATAGCAAAATGTAATAAAACGCTTATGATCCAGACAACAAAGATCCATGTGTGGATGTGTACAAACACACACATACATGTCATCATCAGCACATCCAAAAATAAATAAAGAAATAAACACAATCTTCTCATACAATAGTAGAAAAGAAAAATGATGATGCAGGCAATGGTTTACTAGAGGACTGCCTAAAACAGATCTTGTCTGTGTGTATGTGTTTGTGTGCATGTGTGTGTGTAGTCTGCTAAAACCCTCTGAATCAAAAAGGGTTTCTGTAGGTGTAAACATCCAGCATTTATCCAGGGCTGCATCCACTTGACAGATGTACAGTGTGTGTGGACAGCCCGGTCATAATTACAGAATACCTTAAATGATATAAAAGCCCTGAGTGCTATACTTTGAGGTCACCAATAGTCATTTAGAGCAGACACTGCAATTTTCTATCTCAGCGAAAGCTCCTCTCTGACAGTCTAAGGGACTTTTATTCAGGCTTGCAAGAAAATAAAGGTTTTTGTTACTGATTACTCTGTCAGTTTGCTCATTGATTAATAAATCAGTTTTGATGACCTGAAGGCTCACAATGCTCACCAATGTAAAGACGAGTGAAAATACTCGTAACTTTTTTTCTGGACTCAAGAGCAAGAGAGAGGAAAAAGGATGATATATTTTATGGGAATGTGATGATATAAAGCAGAGAAAAACAGTAAACTGGCTCATTTAAGAATCTTAACCCAGATGATTGTTTTTGTTTTGCTTTTAGATGACATAACTGAGTATTATAGTGTGTAATATAGTGTACAATAATACGATCTACTTCAGTGAGTTATTTAATGGGTTATCATAGATTTATCTGAAATCGCTAATTTATTTAGTGTTTTCTAAATGTGTTTATTATGTAAATAAAGATTTCTCACCAAACTACATAAAGAGCAGCTTTCCACAGGACAGATTTAAGTCATCTTAGAGTTCAAACAAAATTAACTTATTTTACACACTGGGAGCGCTGGGGTTTTGTTTTATTTTTTTTTAATTTGCCCCCCTCATAAAGTGAACTGCTTTGGACCGTCTCGCTTTTCTCTCTGCTCCAAACTTTGAAACCATGTGGAACCAAAATGGTAAGTTTGCTGCCGGCGATTCTCTTTTCACTTCCTGTCGGTAGGTACGCACACACGCGCGCCTTGCGTCATTACGCACTTCCCCTCCTCTATGAAGTTCCCCCTCTTCTCACCGTCGCGCCGTGACGGGGATGTTTTGGTGAAAGAAAATACAGCGTCAAAAGGGGACGTAAACACGTTTAAAACATGACATTAAGGCCCAGCGGGACCTAAAGTGGCGTCGTAGGGGAGCGAGAAGGCGTCTTCGGCGAAGCTTTGGGTCCGCCTTTATGTATTCCTCCGCATGTCCGCTTTCTTCGTAGATGGTGTCCGGCGAGCGTTGTCTGGCGGCGGACGACGAGTTCTTGACGAGTAACATGAAGGAAATGATTGGAGGGTGCTGTGTGTGTTCAGACGAGCGAGGCTGGGCGGAAAACCCGCTGGTGTACTGCGACGGACACGGCTGCAACGTCGCCGTGCATCAAGGTAAGCCACGGAGCTTGTGCTAGGAGCTAGCAGTTAGCTCGCAGGCTAGTTATCGTTGTCTTGTTGCAAGGTTATGGAGCCGCCTCCTCCTCCTGCTCTCACCAAGGCCAGGCTCAACGCATGTCGCTGGCCCCTCCGATGATTTGGCTTGGCAGCTAACAGGGCCTGTGTACCCTTCTGCTGATGATGGCTGACAGCAGCTTTATGCACACATTTCTAGCTGCGAGGCGTGCTGTTTTCCCCCTCTACTAAGACCTGTCACGTGCTCAGAGAAGGAGGGTTACTCTCCTCTTGACAAACGGTATAAACTTAAGAGGTGAGCTCGAAACCAGCAGTTTAAACCATGCATGCAGTCAACGGAGTAAACAAATACAATAAATCTGGCTCTAAATAAAGAGAGGAAGCAGTTTAGTGTGGAAAACATTTTTTGTTTTGTGTTTTAGGGGGTCCAGTTCAAGAAGCAAAACAGTGATTTCTGCACGCTAACTCTCACTCACTCACGTGATGACGTCCACTGTTTACATAGCTGGTCATGTGTCCATTTGGCAAACAGTGGGATGCTATTTGAAATGTCAGCAGCTCTGAAGTCAGTGCACGGCAGTGTATTTGGACTTGTAGCACTGTTTTGTTTGTAACAATTTGTGGCAGTGTTTAGACTGCTTAGTAGGCCTGTCTGGCAGCAGCGTGATTGTAAGTAAACATAGGAAACGGCTAAAGTGTTACATACTTCACTGCACTCATCAGGTCAGATGTTAACACTTTCTTTGTATTTATCTCCCTCTGTTCAAATTCGAGCTACATTTTGTAAGGTTGAAGAAATCTGCGAATAAACCTTGTTGAATATTTGAATTTCTTCCATAAGATGTCAGGTATCAGTACTCTGTAGAAAATATGGTTTCCCTAAGCACAATACTTTTAATTTTTCAAGGAAAACTGACATTTGAAGCTTTGAAAGCTACTTATTCTCCAGAAATGAACTAATTAAGATTAGTTGGTGCTCTGATTCAGACAGCACTCGTGTCATGATCTGCCCTTGAACCGCAGCTGAAACGGCTTCTTTTTAAGTTAGGCTAGTATCAGATTAAGTTAACTAGGAACATTCAGTAGTCTATAATGGAGATGCAATGATTGGAAATTTCTTGACCAATCCTAATTTTCCAGAACTATTGAAAATAGTTTACAGTTATAACTCACAGCATACACAAATGAAAATAAACTTTTCTTTAAAGAAAAATATTATGTTCATGCTGATGAGATTATTACATTTGAGAATATTCCCCAAACTACAGCAAGTTACAGGATCTTCTCTCACTTAACTGAAAATAGGGTACTCTGTTACTGAAAGAGGTACAAATAATTAACTACTGAACCACTTTCACTTGATGCTGTCTAGCTTACCAAATAAAAAGCAGGCGAAACAGATTTGTATAGCAAAACAAATGTCAGGTACTTGCATCATTTTACAGTATGTTTATAAATTCCCCAGATAACAGAAAATCTTTTTTTTTTGTCTTTTTTGTTTTACTTGTCTAAATGATTTTCTTCATAACTACTTTGATTCGTTGCTCATACCGAGGCTTAGCTTTAGCCACTTTCCCTTTGCTCTCTCTTTAGGTATCTCACTAGGTTATGAATGTATTTGCGGTTTATTTAACTGTGTCTTCATTCACTTCCATGATAACAAGGTATCCTGCTTGCGACAAATTGACTGTGCTGCATCGTGCACAGACCGCTCTTATTCGGTCCAGCCACCCGTCTTTGTCAAAACCACTAGAAATGTTTTGATTGATTGTTATAACTGAGCATTTTTGGAAGTGACGAACACTAACTGCTGTTAGAGTAGCAAACAAAACTGCACGTAATTAATTGGCTCTTTCTTATAATATTTCAAACTGAATTGCGTAGTATGTGCAGAAGATCTTGATATTTCATCTTTGTTTGGTCACTCGTGTCTTCATTTGAACTCTGTAACCCTTGGATGTTTTGTTCTCCAAAATCTGGATTATAGCTGTTTATTCCAGCGGATTATGGGCTCTGGTCAGATCCGAGATAATCTCGAAATGTGTAGAGGTAGGCTATTTAGGGTAGTCTGGCCGCATTTAGGGTAGCACTGCCTTGTGCTTGTACCTTTACAACAAGTCTGATTCTCTTAAATCGAACTTGAAAACAGAAAATGTGTTAATTTAAATTGAAAACAAGTCTATTTAAATAATGTAAATCAGGTTTTTTTCCCTTGTTGTGTGGAAGTATAAAGTGTAAATTATAAATCTGTGACCTTGTTAATGCATCATCCATGTAGAACGTTTAATGAAAAACATCTAATATAGTTAGTCTAGCTTTAAATGTAGCCAGTTATGATTTTGACATTTCCTCAAAATTTTTGTAGTTGTGTTGGAAGCCAAATAAATGCTGTGGCTTGTTTCAGTGAAACATCTTTGTGTATGAGTTAATAACTGATGCCAATATAGATTCCTAATGACAATGGTTTGCTAGTGATTTCACCATTGTCCCAAATATTTTGTAGGACAAGGAAATGATGTCAGTGCAGTGGCATAAAAATAGCATCTGTGAAAGCAGCGTGCTCAGCAGTCTGTTAGATCAAAAAGCTGTTCTCCTCCATCCAAACCAGCTTAGTTGCACATGTCAGTTTCTGGCACATGTGAGGAGTGGAGATGATGTGATGTTTATGAAGATGTGAAACATCAGGTTATGAAAATGTTTTTTAAGACTGACTGTGTTGTGGTTACTGTGACTGACACTGTTTGTTTCTTTACCCCAGCCTGCTATGGCATTGTGCAGGTGCCCACTGGTCCTTGGTTTTGCAGAAAGTGTGAATCTCAGGAGCGAGCAGCCCGCGTGGTGAGTCACAAAGCCCTCTACCCTTTCATCACTGATGATTTAATGCCTACAATCACAGGACTTATCCTGAGCCGTCCTATTGTTAATAAGCGAGCCAAGAAAATGGCACCAGGTTGGGTGGTGCGTCATTTTTGTGTCTGTTTATAGATCCTGGATAAAAGCGGTTGTAAAAACAAGTCCCACAGCATGTTTCTTCTGCAATATTCCTTAATGTCAGGAAAGACAAACTTGAGGGAGCTTGTAATTGCTTCTCTATTACGTAGTCTGCAGCTTGTACAACAAGACTTGCAACTCTTTAGCACTGCAAAACAACAAATAGCTCAAGTTCATTTGCGAGAGTGTTGTGAGATCATGTTAAGAGATCGTAAGTCAGTGTTCTGAGGGTAGAATCGTGATTCAAGTAATGATCCTTGTCACAAATTTGGTTAAACGATATAATCATGTTCATTAGGGATGGGTACCGGTTCTGACATAAACGGTAGTAACCAGACCGAAAAGCAGCGCACATTTCGGTGCTTTATTTCGGTGCTTTTTTTTCCTGAGCTGTGATACACTTCTAGCCAATCATTTTACGTTTCCGAGGATAGTAGGCGGGGCCAGGTACGTCCGTTCTGTTAGAGCAGAGCTACAGATTAAAAATGTCCAAGGCGAAGCGGTCAAAAGTCTGGCTGTACTTCACAGCAAAATATGCAAACTCAGCAGCAACAAGTGCTTTAAGCTGATACTGTGATACTGTCAAAGGAGGTAACACCAAGAATCCGATTAAACAGCTGGCGACGCATAGCGTTTTTTTTAAAAGCCGAGAAATGCGCCGTATTTGATAGCTTGCTGCGAGACCTCACACCGTGCACGTCGGGTGTGGTGCCAGTTATCGGACCCGGAGCAACATCTCCCAAAAACCCGAAGAATAGAGTCCTGGCCCCTAGCCCTGCCAGTGTAGCAGAAATGATGACGGGTGATGATGGCAGCAGCAGCCGTTCTTCTCTGCGTGAGTAGCTTCATGTTGTTCGAGTGTAATTTACGTTGAGTAGGCTAACCACGTTATTACATTAATGCATGTAAGGTGAACTAGCAAACATCATCATAGCTACATGCGGCTGTCTTCTTGTTTGATGGCAGATACTCCCTTCACCCTGGCCAAAAAGGCTAAAATGACCAAAGAAAAAGTGGGAAACAGCTGAACATGAGAGGTTTTTGGACAAAGTTTGTGTTTTTTCCATTGTTTAAGCACTGCTTCCAGCCAAGAGTGATGCCATATATGCCCCATAGCTGCAGAAAAGGCTACCATTGTTATCTTTTTACAAAAAAACAGCTGAACATGAGAGGTTTTTGGACAAAGTTTGTGTTCTCCATTCTTTAAGCACCGGTTCGAGCACCGTTTAAGCACCGGCACCGTTTCAAAAGTACTGATTTGGCACCGGTATCGGATAAAACCTAAACGATACCCATCCCTAATGTTCATAAGAGTCCTCTCCAGTTATGCCACATTTCCGCTAGCACCTTCTCTGTAGAGCAGAGTCTGTTTCAGTCGTACCACCTTAATGTGCGTGTTATAGAAAGATGGGCCTAAAGTCCCAGGATGCCATTTGTGCTTGACACAACACAACGATGGAATACATGGAGGCGACGGCATACCTGCTGCTCAGTCTGTCACAAATGATGTCTGCAGCTCGTTGTTGGATCACAGTGCTAGTTTGTGTGTGGACATTTCCCTTGCTGTTGGGATGCGGTAATGGCGGATTTGAGTGTTGTGAAGAAGTCTCTTCATGACTCATTGAGTGACGCCATTGACTGAGCAATCGGTGGCAGTGATGCTGTTCACATTTTTTGGATCAACTCACTTCAAAAAATATACCTGGTAGCCAACGGAGAACCTTAAAAACCAGCTCGAGTAGGTGTTAGTGGGAAAAAAGGCAGGAAAAAAAGAAGCTACTGATAACTCGTAAAAGTCTGCAAGAGTGGAAGTCTCCACCACTTCGGCTTTTCTCTGAGGATGTTTTATTGAGGATGTAAATTCCAATCCCAAGTTTGGCTCTGATGTGCATCGGTTGGAATCGTGTTATAACCAGTCACTCTTTTGCTTAGTTTATGTGGAGTAAGAAAGCTTGGACTTTGCTGTTTTGATACAATCTGTGAAATTCCTCCAAAAAGTAGATTTATGCCAAATTGAAATCATCCATGCAAATAAACTGTGGTCTGTTTGCCCAGCTAGTATGGTTAATATTGGCTGGTAAGAACTGTGGTGTAGACAAAAAACATAATTTTAAGTTTAAAAAATGGTTTCAGAATATGTCCCGAGTAGGGCTGGGCCATATTATACCGTTCACGGTAATACCGGTATAATGTTAGGCAACGATAGGAAAATGAAATATCGCGATAGAATGGGAGTAAAACGCGCATGCGCAGTGCCTTTGTTTTCATACGCACATGGCCGATTGTTGAGTGAAACAGATGAACCAGAATTGGTTTGTAAAAATGGTGCAACTTCCGTGATGTGGAACTGGTTTGGTGTTTGTCCGTCAGATACACAACAAAGCACATTTTTTTGCAGAACATGCAAGCGGCCGTTGTCATTGTCATATTTGTCGGACTAAGATGCTCTTAAATCTGGGAGTAATCTGGGTCCTAAACTCCGTATTCTTCAGGTCAAACAACACTGCAGCATCACTTAGAGTTAAAAACTGTCTAAATTCTTTCATCTTTAATAAAACGATCAGCATTGCTGCTTTACCAGGTGTAACTATAAAGTTTAACTTCCAGGCATCCATGAAAACAAAAGTTATTACATTTAACGGAGTTAGAAGTTAGCAGGAAGCTAGCGGAAGTTAGCTCGCTAGTTTCGCTAGTTACCTAAGCATGATATTGCATGTTCTGACTGAGAGATTTCTGAAAAAAATCAAACGTACAGCTCTGCTATCACTTCCAACATAAATGAAGACAGGAAACTAAACAGCAGTGACGTTTGTAGGGTTACTGAAGTTGGGCTAGCTGGTATATAATGATGTGCTACGTGATCGCTAGCGACACAGCTATGTTAGCATAACATAAACAGTGAAGCTGGAGGACGAACACTAACACTTTTCCACTTATAAAAGTTAACGTGAAGGTTCTTCATGGTTAGAGACAAATGCAATCGCATGGCAGGATGCTGTAAACGGACCAAACTTCAGTCAGGAGAACAACTGAGATAATCCATCCACAATACCAGGTTAGTCATTAATATACTGCAACAACATGGGAATAGAACAGCTGCCAGAGAATTCAACATTAATGAATCAATGGTACAGAAGTGGAGGAAGCAAGAAGAATGAGTTTAATCAAGTTTGATTTATCTGACTGCTTTGTTTCGCTTAATGTGCCTTATAATCCCGTGCACCTTATGGTCCGAAAAATGCGTACTGCACACTGCAGTTTAATGTTGCAAAGCACCTATTTTTAACTTCAGTGGATATTATATATGGTTATGCTCAGGATATGTCAGCCCATTTCTACTGGAAATGCCTTTTGGTTAAACTTTCAGCAAGGCATTTGCACTGTTACATTTTTATAAAGCTTTAATGTACATAAAAACCAGCTTCTTGTTTAAGTGAAAATAAATGGAAGGTTGTCTTTTTGCGCTAGTAATGTTGTGGAGTTGTATTTTGTCTCGCATCAATTATATCGTCGGTTATATCGTTATCGCAAATTTTCAAATATATATCGTGATAAAAGATTTTTGGCCATATCGCCCTGCTCTAGTCCCGAGTACATTTCCAAGTGGCCTCTCGGTGCAGTTTTGTTTATGGTCAGAAATCAAATGGAGCAAACATAATTTGTAATTGCAGACATGTGGTTTAAGCTTATTTCAACAGTCACACTCCTAATAAATCAATCTGCTGCTTGGAAGCTGTCCTAAAACCAACTGCAGCATCTAACTGCATAAGCAGTGTAAATGTAAACAATACGGTAACCATGGTAACGCATGCTCCCGCCAGCATGTGGACGCAGAGAGTTTACGCCGATCAGTTGAAGCTGAGGTCTGTAGTATTTGTGTCGTGTCTGTGCCGTGTGGGTTAATTCCATTAAAAGCACAGAGTGATCCTAGAATATTTCCAAGTAGGGTGGCTCTTTCTTTATTGTTTATTTGTTTGTTTTTTGGTTCTGTTTTGCCCGTTTGTTATTGTTCATGACCTGTGATGGATTTGCTGCCTGCAACAATAATGTAGTAATAATGCTAATGTGCATTTATTTCTTTGAAGTCAAAGACTTTAAACATAGATGTTAAAATTGTTAGACATCACACTAATGTGCTGTTAGTCACCAGGATTTGGTGAAAATAGAGACACCATAGTACTGCACCTCTGTATTTAATGTCAGTGTGTGAAAATGTGTTGATTTTATACTTTAAACTGTTTAAATATGTTAAAAAAAATCTTAAATGGAATTCTTAAAGAGATTTGTAGCAATGCGGGACATTTTGTGAACAAAGCAGTGCAGGAATTACTTCAAATTTGTGCACATTAGCAGAAAGGTTTGACTCATCGATCTGCTTGTAAGTAATTAAAATTCACATCAAGCTCAGTTGTATTTTTGAAACCCAAGTCACAATTCGAAGCTAGAAGGAAAGATACGTTTGCTCTATATTTAACACTTCTTCCTGAATATTCAACATATCATTTGATTTTGAAGGTCAACTGCAGTTGATTGCATTATATGGTGATACACAGCAAGAGGATTTGGGGCATTACTTTCTTTAATATTCAACTAAATTATTAGTATTGTATGTGCAGCACTGAAGGGACTATGACACATTTTTGTGATTCCTGTACGCTCACACAGAGCGACCCTGCTCTTCATGCCAATGTTGTAGAAAAACCATTCAGCACTGGTTACACTTGGCTATTGTTGATGCTGACAGTCGCTCGGGCTTTGCTATTAGATGTTATGACTTGATATTGTGTTTATCTATTCATCCTGTTCTCTTTTTAAGGCCACTTATGTAGAGTAATTGTAGCAGGTTA